TGATACTAAGTGAAGTAACACAAACCCAGAAAAGCAAGTGATGTATGTTTTCCCTCATTTGTGAGTATGTGAGTATGTAAATTCTGAAGTAACAGCAGGAGCCAGGAAAAGGTAAAGATACATGTAGGTAAAGGAAAATAAACATTAAAGGGAGATAGTAGCGAACAGATGTTACCTGAGGGAGGTGGAAAAGTTGTGAGTAATTAGCAGGGAGGAGGGAGGGACACACAACGGACCATGGTGTGGGGGAGAGAGGGAACTCAGGAACAGAAAGATGGTGTGAGTTGGGGGGTATTGGAGAGAGGGTGGGAATAATGGGGGCACTGTGTCTAGGAAGGGAGGGAGAAGGGAGGTCAGATGGGACTAAAAAGGGTATAGATGAGTGAATCTCAGGGACTAGCAAACCTAAAGGTAAAAGCAATGCCCTAGAAACAATATGAGAAATGTACATAGAGCTCTGAACATTAATGCATATATATATACTTAGGAGCTGCTTGGAAGGGAACGCAGTATGAGATAGAAGAGACCTTCCTTAGAGGGAATAACACGCAGTACAGCACTCATCAAAGAAATGTCTTTTTGCAACAGATGGAGGCTACCGCAGAATTGCACATCTGATCAGGCATAGAGAACATACACCTGGGAAATGCCTGGTACTAGGTGGCACATCTGCAGTCGAATTCCTAAAACCAAGGCTCATGGAACATAGCAGAATAAGGGGTAGAGAGAGGGCTAATGCATCCCTCAACTCTCACCACTGAGGCTTCCCTGTACAGCAGAGTGTGATGCAAACAGAAGGCCACAAATGGCCAAATTTTGGAGAATAGGGGCTGTGTAGTGTAGGATGGGACTCCTATATGGAACTTCACCACCCATGGCTCAGGGACCATTGCAGAAGAGGGAATAGAAAGATTGTAAGAGCCAGAGCTAGTTCATGAACACAGGGAGGTGGAGGCTTCAAAGCCACTGGAGTATTGCTCATGTGAGCCTGTGGCAGTAGTGGTGTTGATCAAGGGATTCATGTCAGCTCAATTAAACAAGGGTAAAAAGTGAAGGCCAAATGAGAACTAATGCAGGCCTTCTCTGCATCTATTGAGATGACCATGTGGTTCTTGTCTTTGAGCCCATTTATATGATTTATGACGTTTATTGTCTTATGCATACTGAACCATCCCTGAATCTCTGGGATAAAGCTGACTTGATCATGGTGGATGATCTTTTTGATGTATGTCTGTGTGTGGTTTTTAAGTACCTGTTTGAATATTTTTGCATCTATGTTCATTAAGGATATGGGTCTATAGTTTTCTTTTCTGCTTATATCTTTACCTGGCCTTGGTATTAGAGTGATGCTGGCTTCATAGAAGGAATTTGGAAGTGCTCCCTTCATTT